CCAGGAAGGTCTCTTTGGAAAGTGTTTTTAGGCACAACAAACCAGAGAAAGCACAAGACGCTAGACAATCCTTAACAACACTGGAAAATCCCTACAAAGAGCTGGCCCCCCCCCAGTGCTACCCCTACTCACAGCAGGCGCTGTTCTACGATATGAGAAAAGTCTATTTGCAGCATTATCACCCTGTTCGCAACCCTTTCCCAACCCTTTTCCACGCGTTTCCCAACTTGTCCCAAGCTTCCCCCTGTTCTCAACGGCACCCCAACTTGCCCCAACCTTTTCCCAACTTGCTCCAACCTTTTCACAACATGTCCAAGCTTTTGCGCAACTTTTTCCCCGACCTTTTTTCCCCGACCCTTCGTCCCAACCTTCTTCCAACTTTTTCCCTCGACCTTTTTTCCCCGACCCTTCGTCCCAACCTTTTCCCAACTTTTTCCCCGACCCTTTTTTCCCGACCTTTTGTCCCACCTTGTTCTCAACCTTTTCCCAACTGGTTCCCAACCTTTTCCCAACTTAGTCGAAACCTTTGTCCACCTTTTTCCCAACCTTTGTCCCAACTTGTTCCCAACCTTTTCCCAACCTTTTCCCAACGTGTTCCCAAACTTTTCCCAACTTTTTCCCAACCTTTCACCAACGTTTTCCCAACCTTCTCCCAACGTTGTCCAAACCTTTGTCCAACTTTTTCCCAACCTTTGTCCCAGCCTTCTTCCCAACTTTGTCCCAACATGTTCCCAACTGTTCTCAACCTTTCTTCACATGTTTTCTCAATTTGCTCCCACAAGAAAGAGGCCGCAGCATACCCACATCAATGGATCAGTGCCCTGATGATGCACCCCCCAACTCCAGAAAACTTCTTTGTTCTGGTCACACTCTCAACCTGCTTTTTCATGGAGTTTATGCAGCCTTGAACAATTAAACATTTCACTGAAAAGACCGCATTTGAGAAGGCCCGAATGGCTATTTAAAGGCTTTATGCCCTTTCCTCTTTTTGCGCTTCACACATCCCCGTCAAATCTCTTTTTTGCGGCTGGCTTGGCGCCGTTTTTGTGGACAATGCAAACCAGAACGTCCGTGCTCCAACTGGGGTCTGGCCATTCGGGCTTGTGTTTTCCTGGTGTTGCCCAGGCAGGTGCCTTTTTGTTCGAGTCGACTAGGTGTCTCGAAGCCACGCGAACCTGTGAGCATTGGCATTCTTGCCTTTTTGCCAGAAGCCAGGGAAAAGGGGTCCTAGGAACGTCAACATGTCCAGGGCCCTTTGAGGCGGGAACCCCAGGCATGAAACCTTATGGGTTGATTACTGTGGCTTCCCTTGCTCTCAAGCCCTAAAGTTGGGGCGGGACCAGAAAGAAAACCGTCAGAGACTGGCCAGCGCCAGGTGTGGCCGGCGGGGAACCGGTTCTTCTGCAGAGGCCGCCCTTGTCGCTCGGGTTTGAGACCCACCATGTCCGAACGTCAGAGACCCCACCCAAGACCTGAGATGGGAACGAAACAACCAAGGAGTTGGTTCACTTTTTGTCCTTTCTTTTTGTTTTCTTTCGGGGAAGGTGAAACACACTCTGAATCCACCAGGTGGACCAACCTGAAGAACACAAGCAGAATCGGGGAGTTGCCCTGTGGGATTCCATCATGCATTACAAGAATTGGCAAGGGGACTTTCTGTATTGTTTACTGTTTAGTGCTTAGCAATGCTGGCCCCCGCATTTTCATCCTGGAAGGAGATGAAAACTGGCATGCCAAGCCTGTTGGACTGTTTGCTGGCATATTCACTGGCAAGACGAGTTTTGGTGCCCCGCACTGTCTTGTTCTCAAATCGAGGGTCTTGAACATTGACTCGGACTTGATAGGGTTTACAACCATGTGAGATCTCCCAACAGCCAGGATATTGCATGACTGGCAGCCCCGGGCATGAGTGCAGCGTGTCCAACTGCATCCGGGAGACCTGCGCCTTGGCGACGGGGGAGCGCACCCTCAAAGTGAGCATTGGGGGGGGGGTCTCAAAAATGTGTGTTGCAGAGCGTTTTCTCTGCGCCACCATTTGGGTATACTGTCCTGCAGGTGAACGTTTGCCAGGACTGCGTCAGACCTCCTAGTTGCCCACTGGCGTTTGTTTTCCTGTCTTTACACCACAAGAGGGCATGAGAGGTTGCAGGGGACAGTGTTGGAGTTTGCATCAAAATCGTCAAATACAGAAGTCAACCATGTGGAGGGGTGGCTTTGACGCCTTGCCATGTGGCTTGGCGGCTTGAGGCGTTGTTGCTTTTGCTTTGGGCCCTCAGGCGCCACAGATGGAGGCTGCTGTCTGAGGGTGGCAGATGTTGCCGAAGGCAGGGATCCACTCTTTGGTGCCCCGAAGCTTAGTGTTGCTGTTTGTTCATTGGAGGTGATGTACGAATTCTAATCCGTTATGTTGGGAGAGATGATCACTCATTGTTCAGTGAGGATACGGACAGCATGTTCATCACTTCAGCCGTGATCATGCGTGCAGAGATTTGGGTTTTAGCAATTGGGCTTTAGCAATTTCCGCACAGAGCACTTTGGTGGCAGATCTCACAACCTGAAAAGCGTCATCACCAGCTTCGTCACTAGCAATGCAGTAGGCCCGGGGCTGACAGGCGCAGCAAGCACTCTAGTCAGAGTTATGCTGTCGAAACGGATGAACAGCTTGAAAGTTGGAAAGTGTAAATGAGCAAAGTGCGGGCCATTCTAAACGACTGGTAGGGTAGATAATGATGTAGTAATGTTTTTGACACCAGAGCCTGGTTGGAACAAATGCATCGCCAGCAAGGCCACACCTTGCTTCTCCCTGTCATAGAGAACTGGGCTGTGAACAGTAATTAGAACTGCCCTTTGGGAAAGGCAACCGGACAGCCAGCAGTATAGCAACTATTCGAGGTGCTGGCTTGGCAGCGTTCCATAGTTTTAATATAGGTCTGATCTCCAACCGCGGTGTTTCAGAAAATGGGCGCCCCCTTTTGGTTGCTGCTTCGAGGCAAAACCAAAGGAGACCACCGATTTTAGGGACCACGATTATGCGAACCCATATGGAAGATCATTGGGTCAATGCCAGTCTCGACCGTTTGGCTGTCCAAACTGCGAGCAAGAAAGCGAAAGCGAGCGTCCCGCAGATTGCGACAGCGTCAACCGGCCTTTCTGCACCATCCTGGGCCCGGCCAACTGCTTTGCTTGGGCCGCTTGGAACTGTATGGGGCGCGCAGGGAACGAGCGCGGGGAACTGTGTGTTGCTTTGTTTTTGTTCGGCCTGCCACTCTCCCCATTTGGATATGCCATGAGGTAGGGTGGAGATACATGTCAATAGTTTCCAGCAGCTCGCACGAAGATCGTTATAGAAGGCGCATATGTGTTCTCGATTCGAGATGGGCAGCTAGGATGATATGGCAAAATACCTGCGCAACAACAGTAGGGGCAGTCATTCCGCGCTGCGGCTCAGAAAGATTGGCATTTCAGGTGAACTCATGGAAGGCACCAGAAGATGTTAGTTGTACCCGTGGCATCCTTGGCCAAGTTGGAGTCATTCCGCGGTCAGAGTGGCACAGGGCGCTGGCATGAGGTGTGTATCATGATCCCCTGCAGCCTGTACTTCACCCTAGCGCTGCCCTACTACTGGAGTGCTGCTTGGCTGGGTAGCGTCGTGTCAGAAGCGGAGTCGTTGCCAGCGGGAGCTACTAGAATCACGCGGCGCTGGCCTTTGCGGACTCGGGTTTAGCTGCAGCTGGCAGGCTGAAGTTAGCAACTTTAAAACGGTATAAATCCGAGACGTTGATTGGAGCTTCAAGCGCGCTTCAAACAGAGAAGATGTACCCATATCCCTTCCCAGAAGGGTTCTCAGAACTATTCGATCCGAAACCGAAGCCGTCTAAAATGGTGCGAACCTATTCTGGGGGATGGTCAACATGAAGAGGGCAGTGTTCCTTTAGGGCCCCCTGTTTCTTTTGTAGGGGGTGAACCGGGTGAACCACCCTAGCAGTTGGCTGATACCTTGGAGCTTTCAGGGCCAGCCGGTGACAGGGAAAGGAAACCATTTTCCCAATATGTCTTAGCAAGTCTTCGGGGGAAGGACTGCAGCTGCACAATCTTCACATGCCCGTTTGGGACGGGAAAATGCGACTGTGGATGCTTCGTGTGTTGTCGGGGGTTGGGCCGATCAAAGGAACGGACCTGATGTATCACACAGCTTGGCTGTCCACTCGCGACAGTCAAGAGGGCATGACAACCCAAGACTGCACGCGTTCTGAAAACGAATCCGAGACTCATTAGACACCTGGTTTATCGTGCTGACCTACCACATCTCCTGTCCACACAAGTTGCCAGTACCACAAAGTATGCCCATGATTTTCGCTGTAAACATGTGTGTGTGTGTGTGTGTCCTTGTTTGTGTGGCGTGGGCATTCCGAGTGACGGGCCAAGGTTGCCACTTGCCCAACAAAGACCAATAATTCGCAATGTCCGATCCCCACGACCCAGCCGGGCTCCCAGGAAGTGCATCCGCTTCTGCCCCTGGTGGCGCTCTTTTTTTTCCTGCTCACGGTGGGCTGCTTGCTGGCTGCCTGCCTTTCGGACCCGGGCATTCTGCCCAGACGCGAGGTGCGGCCAGGGGGTGGGGGGTCTGGGGGGTCCGGGGGCAGCTTTTGGCGTTCGAACGAACGAATGTCATCTGAAGATGAGGGGGTCATGGCGTGGGGAAGGCATCAGTGCACTGACGGACAGCTGTTGGCTGAGAGCGGCCCCCCTCAAACCCAGGTGACGAACGTAAAGGGTTCTGAGGCTCCAGCGCTATGTGTTGCTTGGGAAAGGGGCAGCCATCATCTTTTTTCATACCGTATCAAACCTTCAATGGACAGTTCCAATCGTTTGTGTGGAGGATGGGAATCAGTGGGAGGAAGTGAGGAAGGGCTACTCAAGGGTTGAAGCCGCCTGGAAGACACATGAACTTGTCTTGTGCATTGCTCATTTCAGCTTGATGCGCGCTGCCATGTACCGACAGGTGGGTGGCTCAAACAATTCGATCGCCTTGAGCTTGAGAGCTTTGGGTCCGAACCTCGATGACGGCGGTTCATCCCCAGATATGCACTCTGGCATCGCCCCACTCGCCGTCCAGCACAGCCGAGACCTACGTGGATGCCGCGCTGACTTTTGAGGCAGGCCCTGAGGAGGCCTGGTGGGAAACGAGTGGAGAACCGCCATAGGAAGCCACTTTCCCCCAGAAAACCGCTTGAGAATCACAAGAGTAGTAACCCGAGAAGGGAACGGAGTGAGGATGCCTATTGCATGTTTGCTTGGGTGACTGAGAGTGCAAGAAACGATCGCGAAGGAGAATATGGCCTTGTGCGATTTGTCGAAAGGCGCCCGGAGTCCCAATCCCATGACCCAGGAATTCCGATATTTTCCTTGGGGTCTGGAGTTTGGAGGCGTGAAATGCCATGGAGATATGCAGAGATGGCAGAGATGGTATGTCTTAGACAGTCGCTCGTGGTTGCATATAAAAATTATGGAAGATTGACAAGTCAAACCGTGTCGAGTATGCCGCCCCATATGCCTTTGAGACAGTCGCGTGTGGTTGAATAGAATGACCATGGAAGATTGACAAGTCAAATCGTGTCGAGTATGCCGCCCCACAAAACTTCACTTCCTTCTTCACGTCAGGTGTTCTGACCAGTTGGCGGGGAATGCGTTTCAGGCTGCCTGCTGTGTGCCTGAAATGCGCACAAGGTTTGAAGGAAGTCAACTGTTCTAGCTCAAATCATTTTTGGTGGGCCACAAGCTAACCCTATGTCACTGTGAGGGAAGTCGCAGAAACCGCCCAGCCAATCGCCAGCTGCATAGCCCTGAACTGCTCGTGAGGTCAGGATCTGGAATGGTCGCGATGAGGACCGGCGTGGGGCAAGACGACAGTTTCACACCTCGCAGATCTTGCGAGGCCCATCACAACCAACTCGTCCAAACGTAAATGTCCATTGTGTTTTCATGTGTTTGTCTTTCGTGGTGCACTTACAATTGCCGGTGCCGTTCTTCACACGCGAAAACAACACGCGTTTGAACGGGTAGGTGTCCGGGGTGGCTTTAGTATGCCAGCACATGTCAGCACTGAGGGTGGCCCTGTGAGGACCACAAGATGGAAAAAGACGGCTTCGAGCTTTGCAATGTGTCTCTGCCCCAGGAGGAACTGCCGATGTTTTGATGGAGTGTGGCGGATTGCATGAGGGAAACAGCTTGTGCAACGTCCTTTGGCTCATAGTTGGCTTGTGTACATGTTTTGCATTGAATGGAACGTACACGACATGAACGGGCAAATGCGGGCAATAGTCCCAATGTCACTGCAAACTGTAAGAATCAGGCAGGTTGGCTTCGGTGGCTCCAAGTCTTTCGAGCTTGTGGCTTCTCCGCTGGAGGAGGTGGACTGGTACGATCCACCGGCCGTGGCGGCTACGTTTCTTGGCGCAACACCGGGCGGGACGGGCCATGGGCTCTTTTTACAGACCCAGCTGCGGGCTGATAGGAGGTGAATCCATCCGCCATTTGCTCGTCGGCTCGTTCCAGCTTTTACTGGTGCCAAAGCGGCATGGCCTGTTTGCACTGTGACTAAAGTAGATTCCCATTTTTGACAGAAGCATCATGGTCAACTAGCTAAGTAATTGGATGGTGGGAATCAGGATCATTGCGGTTGGTTTGTAGCCTTCGCTTGGCAGATGGGTTTCAGGCGTATCAGGGAGGGTTGATGTGTCAATTCATTTTTTGAAGGATGGCACCCTGACCGTGGTTTCTAGGGTTGGATGGTTTGGATGGGACAGGGCTCCCCCCTTGAACCGATTTCCCTCTCAACTGGCCCAGATATGTTTAAATCCACCAGCCGGGGAAATATGGGAAACGTGTGGGCCTATGACCTGAGCGCTGCCGCAAACCACCAAACAAACTATAGGACACCTGCGGGTTCTGCCTGAGGCTTTATCCAATGGCCGAGAAGGCGTTGCTGGACCTCATGCCAGGCTCCAACAAGGTCATCGTCTTCGACCACATCGCGCGGAACGCCGGGCGCGTGGAGCAGGAGATGCGGGAAGCGGGGCTGACGCAAGAGCTGAGCAGCGAGGCAGGGGAAGGGCCGGGTCTCGCGCGGTGCAGGTTCCCACTTGGGTATGGGTCAAAATGAAACCACCAGAAAAACCGCAGGTTTTTTAGCCCATATTTCCATGTACCAGGTTTCCCTGTTAGATGCCGATTTTTGACCCACAGCTACTTCCTGAGTTCCTGGACTTTGAGCGTTTTGGGAAGATTGATTGCCATGTCAACCCTTTACTAAAAAAGGCATCGATCGGAACTTACCCTGCGTCACCAGGGTTTCCAGAAGGCCAATTTAGCGGTAAAGCGCAAGTTCGGACTTTTGTTTGGCAAATCCACGCCGAAAGTGAGGATTGGCTTTCACAAGAATTGGTTTGCCCACAAGATTCTAGTACGGCCATGTTGAGGCCTTTTTTCTGGAGGAAAACAGGGGGAGGGGCGTTCGGGGAAGGGGGGTTGGAATCATGCGAATGAATGTTGTACGGCCAGGTAGAAGCGTAGGAGTCAGTTTGGAGGTCAACCTTGTCCAACAAGAGGGGCCAAAAGGACCCCCGTGATTCCACTTGGGTTGATGACTCGCTTCAAACTTGATGGAGGCTTATAAGATGTTAGGGGATGCCGGGAGCAGCTCCCCTCAGGTTCCCATGCTAGGAGGGGGGGGGAGGTATCCCTGCAAGATCCCCCAGTAGTGCCCTTTTACCCTTTTTTGGGGGAGGGTTCCCCTAATGTCCAAATGGGATTAAAAAATGCACGCGTAATAAAGACTTCTCGGGGCCCAAAATAATTAGTAAATGCACCTGAATTAAAGACAAGCCCCTGCCCCCCCCACCCATGAACAAAAATATCCCCAAAAAAAAGTCCCCAAAAAAGTCACCTCTTGGCTAACTACCTAGCCAACTTCAATCCCAGGTGATGCTGGTGAAGCTTCATGCTTTCTCCAAAAAACCAAACTGCAGACCTTGCCCAAACTCAAGTTTTCTTACATGTCTCTTGCTTAAAAACAGCCCACCATCAAACCCACAAAGGGGGTAGTACTTCAAGCCCCCAAATTTTAAGCCCAAGACTTTATTCCAGGGGCCCCTATAATAAAGTCTTGCTGCATGGTCCCCCCCTGAAAAATGCAACTTCCTACATGCAGTTACCTCTTGGCTAACAACCTAGCCAACTTCACACACAATCCCAGCTGATGCTGATGCTGATGCTGGTGAAGCTTGTTGCTTTCTCCCCAAAATCCAAACTGCAGACCTTGCCCAAACTCAAGTTTTCTTACATGTCTCTTGTTTAAAAACAGCCCACCATCAAACCCACAAAGGGGGTAGTACTTCAAGCCCCCAAATTTTAAGCCCAAGACTTTATTCCAGGGGCCCCTATAATAAAGTCTTGCTGCATGGTCCCCCCCTGAAAAATGCAACTTCCTACATGCAGTTACCTCTTGGCTAACAACCTAGCCAACTTCACACACAATCCCAGCTGATGCTGATGCTGATGCTGGTGAAGCTTGTTGCTTTCTCCCCAAAATCCAAACTGCAGACCTTGCCCAAACTCAAGTTTTCTTACATGTCTCTTGTTTAAAAACAGCCCACCATCAAACCCACAAAGGGGTAGTACTTCAAGCCCCCAAATTTTAAGCCCAAGACTTTATTCCAGGGGCCCTTACAATAAAGTCAAATGCAAACTCAGTTCCAAGTCTGAAAAGGAAGCTCCAGCAATACTAAATCAAATGCAAACTCAGTTCCAAATCTGAAAAGGAAGCTCCAGCAATACTAAATCAAATGGAAACTCAAGTCTACCAATACTAAATCTAATGGAAACTCACCTCAAGATACTATTCCCCATGCCCCCATCGTTGAGGGGGGGGGGGGCTCCCGTTTACTAATCCACATTGGACATTACTAAAATATACTACAGCAAAAAGGTACCCTTATTCCAACCTCTCCACTGGAGGACCTAGCCTGTCACTTTCACTCCCTGTCACTTTCAGGCCATCTCAGCCGGACGCCCCCCGAGGCTCAGTGGAACCTTTTTGGGCTTGCGTCCGGCTGCCAGCTTCTTGGGATCCCTCCTGGCCCATGCTTCATTCACGCATTTATGGTCATGTTGCAACTGCGGTGGCGCTTGGGGCGACCAGATGGGCCTCGAGCCCAATAGGGGTGGCCATAAAATCTGCTTGTGGCGCACTCCAGGGCCACAGCACTAGGCCAATGTTGTATACCGGAGGGTGTACCTGGATTTACAGATGTATAGGGTAGTCCTGGAAACAGGCACCGGGTACATGGGTAAGTTTCAACAAAGGGTGAGCCCAAAAAGTGGTTTTACTCTGGATATAGTTGTCCCTCTGGATATAGTTGTCCTTTCAACCAAGGTACAAAGGGTATTGTGAAAAGACATACACACACACACTTGAACAATCCATCCAAAGGATTATATAGCACGTTCAAAGTTCGAAGTTGGCACGTCAGGTACACTGGGTTGATCAGACCCAGCATCCTGAGGTCACCATAAGAGCGCACACACAGATCCTAGCTGCAACTCCTACAACGATTCCCCAACCTGAAGTCAAGACCCCCCTCCCTTCGAATCGACGGAATCGCTCGAAATCGACAGAATTAAGCAGATCCTATACGGCCGACATTGGGGACCTTTGCGCTTTGCTAAAAAGGGTACCCTCATTAGAAAGAACACAACGCAAGCAAACACACAAACACACAAAAGTAGAACCACACACAGACACACACACACAAGCACACAAACAAACACAAAAAAAACACAGACAAAGCCCACACAAACTTCCCCACAAACACACGCACAAGCACACACACAAACTTACCCACAAACACACGCAAGCACACACACAGAGAAAACCAAATCAAACAAACAGACGCAAAACACACGCACACACACAGACACACACTCCATACTCCATGGAGCCGACAGGAGGACGCGGCCAATGGCTTGAAGACGCAGCTGCTGGCCGTCCCCGGACGCTTGGTCCACGGGGACTACACGGCGCGCTCGGGAGATACGCGGACCAGGGAGCTGCTGGCACCGTGCGAGTCCGCGGAGAGGCGCCTTGGAGTCCAACTGAAAGTGAACATGGATATGTCTTGTTCCCAGGCAACCCACTTTTGTTTTTTGGTTTAACGGCGTTCAATAGAGGGAATGAAGGAGGTATTTCTGAGAGGACATGGACCACCCCAAATCACCAGCCTGAGCAACCCTCTAACAACCACCCGTGAAAATCCACGAAAAAAGGCCATACCAAACCTTACTCGTACGCCGAACTTACTTCTTGTGAACCGCAACCAACATCCGCTTCTGACTCGTCAGCGCCAGCGTGGCACCCTCAGGCGCTTCCGCAGGGGCGGCTTGATCCTAGTTTTTTTATGGCGAAGGTCGACCCCGGTGAATCAGCCGTCAAAAGGTTGCAGGATTGCCTCTCAACTGGGACATACCCTTTGCAGGAATCAACGAGAGGGGCTCCCGGGTTCCCACTAAGGGGCATCATGTGGGTTCTTCCGGGTGGCTTAGTTCCGGCAGCTTGCGGGTCTGGAAACCATCTGAGGATCGAGGCGGCCATGCAGGGCCGCGTCGCCTTGGTTAACGTTTGGGTGCCGCTGTGCCCCGTCCTGCGGGACCCGCTGGCGCTGGCAGAGTGGCAGACCTGCCGCCCCGAGGAATGCTCGCCCTGAAGCCACGGGTGCTGAATAGCAACCATGAATGTTTGTTTCCCAAAGGGAAACCAGACAGAGGATTGGCATCTTCTTGGGTTTATGTCCCACCTCTTGTTCGACACGTTGTGAGGCAAGTGTTTGGGTTGGGGGAATGGCGGTTGTTCCAGACGGATGCTGGTAAATAACTTGTTGCTTTTTTGGGGAGACAATGATGGCAACCATGTTACGTGGAGGACGTGATCCGGGTGAAGCGGATCCATCCCCACCGCACAGGGGAGATCTACCATGGGCTTCGTGCAGCTGAACGCCAAAGGCACCCCAGCTCTTTGGGTGGAGTTTTACCCTTCAACTTGCCACCCAAAAAACGCCCAGGTGGAGAAGTTACCCTCCCAAGAAGTTAAATGTAAAACTTGTTACCCTTCAACTTGTTGGGAGGGACGCTTTCCCTTTAACTTCTGGTTCGAACTTGTAGCGGATGAACGGACGCTCACCCAGGATGGACTGGTACCTTTTTGGGATGGATGTGTATTATGTAACTGTTTGTGGCAGTGGAACTTTAACCTGCAACCTTTTGCAGGAACCTTCAGCTATTTGTCGACCAGTGCGTTTTGCCGCGAACTCGTCTCGTCACTCGTCGCACACATGGATTTCGAGCGTTTCCCAGATTTAAGGAACTGCCACCTTGCAGGTTTTCTCAGTGGGTCTGTTCAAGGCAATGGTCTCATCTAGAGCCTCGACTTGCCGGTTGAAGCCGCGGTTTTATGGGATACACCTAGTCCACTGCAACACATTGGCAGACCCCGCGTCCCGTTGAGCCCTTTGAGAGATTACTTTTGCGTGCTCTCGTTTGTTTAGTTCGCACACCTTTGCCCCAGGCATACACAGCGGACAAGATGTGCAGGGTCCAATATGTGATATGCAAATGTGATTTTTATGCTTACATATTTTTGTTGATACATATTAGTGTATGTGAGCGGAAGTTGGAACTGCAGCACGTGTGGAGGCTCAAGTCCCACACAATTCGACAAAAGAGTATATAGTTATGGGTCCCAGTTCTTTGATTCGAGGATAGCACAAGCAACAATCCATGTAGGTCTCTTTTCTTGGGGACCCAATTCCTACTTCAGGCCTTGGAATGGTAGATTTTGCAGGCTCCTTGGTGGGGAGGGGGTGGCCAGCGCTGGCCGCTTTAAGCCTTCGCACTTCCAGGGGTCCAGAAATATGCAGTTGCTTTGCACTGATTTGTGGCTGGTGTGCTTACACTGCAGTAACTTGCAACAATCTTAGGAGTATGTATGTACAGAAGATTGTGAGACACGGTCCGTGCTGTTTTGTCTCCTTCATACATATATATATATATATATAACTCAAACAAGAAAACCATAGAAACAGCGGTGTTTCTGTGACTGCGGCCGTCTCTTCTGAAGCCCTTCCCAAGTTTTTGCAGGTGGGTCTATTTTCCTGGCATGGAGCCTGGCGAGGCGGGGCCCCAGGTGCAGCTCTTGAAATCGAAGTGGGCCCTTCTGAACATTTGTTCCGCTTGGAGCATGGGGAAAACGTAGTGGGATGAAACTGAACTTTGAGATTCGCATGCTCGAAATTGCTTCCATGACAATGGTTGGAGAATTTGGACGCTGTTACTTTTGTTTGAAGATGTCACTTTGAGTTGCTTGCATTTTAGGGAGATCTCCCCACTAGCGTGTGACTTGACTCCAGGCCAACGCGAGGTTTTGAGTTTCATGTTTGCTTGGCTCAGCATTTGTGTTTGCAACAGGGTGCGGGCACCATCCTTGCGGGCATGGATCTGTGGAAACAATGGGGAACCTCCAAAGGATGGCGTTCCCTTTCTGAGGTGCTGGTCTTTAAGACCTACGACTCCGCGGAGGACCGGCCGCGCTTCGTGATCCACTCCGCGTCCCAGTTGCAAGTGCCTATCCACCTTTTTCCCGGCCTTCCCTTGAAATCAAGCAGCAAAACATCAAAAAGGTCAATAAATCAAGCAACACCACATCCAACCAACTGGAAAACAGGGCGCCTTTTGGCTCACTTGTCCAGGCCTCTGACCAACCAAAGAGAAAAACGGGCGCCTTTGGGGTTTTTGTCCAATCTGGGCTGAGGCTTTTGTGGACCCCAGCTCTCCTCCCAGCGCCCCGGCGCGGGAGAGCATCGAGCTGCGCTGCATCGTCTTCTTCTCGGAGGCGCGGGTCGTGGGTTAGGGAGACAAGGGTTACTAGGTTTGGCCTTGTCGTTTTTGAGGATACCCTCTCGGGGTTGACAATTTGAAGAGAAGGAAGTGAAGGAAGCCACAAAAAAGGGGGCTCGCTCAAAACGTCGACACCCGCCATCTGTTTTTTTGGTGGGTTTTCAGTGGGTTTCCTTGTGGGGTAAGGAACCTGCGCTTCGAACTCGGAAGGAGGTGCCCAAATGGGGAGGCGGGAAGCAGGTTCCCCTTTCAGCTGCAATTATCCATGTGGGTGGACAAAATCCACTTTGAATGAAACTCTACGAGCAATTATTGGGAGTATCCTACAAAGTGGTGCAGGATTTCGTCCCATCCACAGTGGGGATTGGAATCAGCCACCTTGGTCTTCACAACCTTGTACATGGATGAAGCGTCGCTGCAAGGATACCTATGATTGTCTAACCGGGCTTTGTAAAAGGAAAGTGCGTATCAAATAACCAATGCCAAGGAAGGGGAACATCAGAAAAAAAGTGCGCAAAGGGCAGACGTAATAGGTGAATTTTGAGTTGGAGGCTTGAGCCTGCCGCCATTACCAGCGATCGAGATTCAGGGAAACCGGATTGCTGCACTGGAGTCAGTATTAAATTTGTTGGCTCAGGCTACTCAGGTTCGAAGGTTTTGCTGCATCATCTCCTGCACGATGCGTTCTACAGGCAAGGCTTCTTGAAAACTGTCCCACTCAAGTGACCTTTGCTAAGTCTAGCTGGTCAAATGCACCAGTTCAACCGTGTCCGGCCCCTATTTAGCCACAACAACCAAGCAATCATGGACATAGACACATGCGGGAAAAGGCCAATGTACCTTTGCATACCTATTGACCTATTGCCACGCATGTAATTCTAGATCTTTCCCCAACAGCAAGGATGAGCCTTGCTGATCACAACGTCCACCTACAGGATGCCTACGGAATCATGCCTGGGATTGGGCACGACGTGCGGTTTGACGCTGAACTCTGAGAACGATTCAGCAGGCGCCCCAGCCGTACCCAAAATTTTGGGAGCAGCAACCTCACGGGCACTGGCCGTGGCCGGTCTTTTCCCGGGCTTAAGTCGACTCCTAGGTCACCCAGTAGTGCCCTTTTACCCTTTTGTGGGGGAGGGTTCCCCTACTAAAATAGACTACAGAAAAAAAGTTGGCACCCTTATTCTAACCTCTCTACTGGAGGAATAGACCCCTGTGCGGCGTGCTGGCCAGGTGCCCGAAGATTTCGGCGCCCAATTCGTGCCGCCCCACCTGGACCCCTCCTCTCCGGATCATGACTTGACTGCGCCGAAGCTCGGAGACGGGTTAGGCGGTTAGGCGCTTGCGCCAGGCACTGTAGAAGAATGGCCTATAATGGCCTGCAGCGTGGAAACTGGGGTCTTCTCCAAAACGATTTTATTTAGATCTAAGGTTGGCTAAGTATGAAACATACTCTGAAAGTAGCATGTTTGTGTGCTCCAGTTGTGGGCTAAGGAAATGATATATGATGCCGAGCTTGTTTCATGAGTGCCCAAGGAGAGAGATATTTGTGCTGGTATGTTCTGGCATGATGTTTTGGTGACTTTTTGCTTCTTGAAGTGCAAGTGCTCGTGCTTTGTGCTTGATTCAAGGGGATGTTTGCCATGTGCGGCCAAGCTTGAGGCCGGCATGGGTTTATTTGCGCCTGTACTTCCATGCTAACCTTCGTACGGTAGCCCTTAATTTAATCCACGGACCCGCTGGAGTTCTGGCCCCTTGCATCAGTGAGCCACCTGAGAGCTAACTTGGACGGCATCTTGTACGTGTTTTCTTTCTTGAGCCAGCTCCCAAACCGTAAGTCACCGGGCAATCAAGGCGCGCAACAGCATCTAGCATGGGAATTTGCTGTCCCATCCATCCCGGCCTTTTGCTTGCATTTTGATTGGAATTTGAACTAGGTGTCCACCAAAAGTTGCTCTGAAGTTGCTGGTAGAATCATGGCATGGCATAGTCAGAGGTGATGAGAGGGATAGTTGACCATAGCTGACATCATCTTACTCGAGACTGGCACGAAAAAACGCCACGGCAGCTCTGTCAGGAAGGTTGAGAAGTCTGAGGCAATGCCGGAGTGGTGAGGGGTGCACCGCATTTTGTAGCCGGTGACGTGTCCAGAATTCGAATGAATCTTCCCGGCTTGGCCATGGTACCTAGCAACAGGGCAAGGGGTTACTTTCCTTGACTCTGGGCCGCGGGGTATGGCTGCGGTGCAAAGGGATGAGAAATATGTGAGTGTGACAGAGTGGCGTTGAAGTCGGCGTCCACCTTTTGTTGGCCGGTACCGGCGCAAGAAAACCACATGCCAGCTGCAAAGTCATTGGGTGAGCAAAGGGTCGGTCAGACACGTGTTGGAACTCAGGCACCAAGCCCTGCAGTCAGTCACTTCTTGTCAGATGGCAGTGGCGAGATTGGTACAGTTGGCCATTGTGCAGGGGGCCATTCCTGAACTGTACGTGGCGGGCCTTCCCACACCGGAAGTGAGCCCTTCCACTGGTGGACTCGTCTAAGACGAGCGCCACTTTTCCACTGGAGGCTTCAGGCGAGCAGTGCAACTAAAAAGCTTTCACAGCTCACATTAGCCGGTCGTGTGAGAGCAGAGCCACACTCCCACACCCACACCGACAGCCACATCGCATCCTCACCGTCACCCTTGCTTGCGCACAACCCATGCACACAGACACACAGCCACACACAGACACACAGACACACACACACACACGTACAGATGCAAATGTAGACATGCACACAGACCTACAGACATACTCCCTTACCCCCAGTACTGCACGCCCCATAATTTAAACTGTTGTTTTTGTGTTTTCCGTGGGCCTGGTTTTCAGTGTGGCCATGCCAGAGACTAGCTTGAGTTGCAGCACAAATCACACTTTCCTTGCCTAGTCCAAAAAGCTTACTTAGTATTGGTTTCAAATTGGCTATTCTAGACTTAGTATTTCCGGCCCCGCAATTTTGGAAAAATGTTTTATTATCACTTCTCGAGTTCCTGGACTTTTTGCTTCTTAGGAAGGCCATTTTAGTGGTATATAAACTTGGGCCAACCCACTCAGGAAGTGAGACACAGACACAGACATTTGCAAACACGGACATATGCAGACACAGACATATGCAGACAGACAGACAGACAAACAGACACAAAAGCGCACAGACACAACAGCGCACAGACACAAGCACACATACACGGACACGCAACTCACAGAGACATGCGCATAGTCACACAGACTATGTACAAGACGCACTCGCAGACACACACACACACACACACAGACTCGCAGAGACACAGAGACATGGAGACTCAGAGTCACAGAGGCAGACATGCACAGACACATACACACACACAGACGCCGCTACACTCGCGCCCCCGCACATACACGCCCGCAACTGCAACCGAATGCACCCGCACATGCTCACGCGCTCGCGCTCGCGCACAGACACTTTTGCGGCCTGTTTGGCTTTGCTGAATCTGAAGATTTCCTTTTCTGCAAGTTGCAAGTTCGTCACTTATGTCTGATGGAGTTGCCGCATCCAAAGGAACCATCGGAGACAACTGGGTCCCATCGCCTGGAATCTGGTGGACGTGCTAAAGCAGTTACTTTGCCAAAGGTTGTTTGACGGCGGTGGGTGGCAGGACCCCATGCTCAACAATCTATGTGGTGTGTAGGCAGGGTGCACCAGAGTTGATTGATGCCTATAGATAGGTTGTCAGAGGGATATGTTCAAACAGATAGATGATGGATACTAGATATTGTAAAACCGATAGATCGATAGCGATGCACACCCCGCACTGCTTAGTTTTGAAGGACCATGGCATGGACATCACTCATGTTGAGTGGTCCCCAGTTGCAAAGCAAACCTGAAACCCATACCATGGTTGTTGTTGGGAAACATTTTACATTTTTGCTTCTTGTGGTTTAGAGGGAATTCCCCACTTAATTGCTACAATTTAAATTGTTGCTCCCCTTCCAACGTCAACCAAGATACACTTAACACCCGACTCACCTGGGGATGTCGAAGTTTCGTCAGGTGATCCTGGCCACTGGTGTGGCGCAGAAGCTCTGCGAGGCGCAGCTCCGACACGGCGTGCGGGCTTCGATGCGGCGACAGTAATGTTGACCTGGGAAACCCGTGGCATTGTTAGGGTGTTCCCTCCAAAGGTGGTCTGAATCCCCACTAAAAGGGGACACCCCCCGATCAAAATCAACCAGGGGTTCTGCTTAATCCGGGGTTAACAGTAGGGCAAGTGATACTCAGGCCAAGCGTTCTGTGGATTCTAAGCGCCAAATCCCCGTTGGGAACGACGCAAAACAGATCAAACAAAGGGTCCCCTTTTCTGAGCGAGTTTGCATGCTCAAACCTCGATGAAGACTTCGTTCTTAGTCTGTTTTTTCGGGTGCCACTCAGGCCAAATGGAAAGTCGGCTTCCATGTGTTTGTTTTGGATGAAGGTCCCTGATCCGGGGGTCCCTCAGTTCATGTTGAAGGAAGTAGAACAGCAATTAGAACACTTCCATGTTGGTGGGCTGGCCATTCCAACTCGCTAATTGATATGTGTGTTTCGCATTTGGTTAATCGAAGACGATGGGAGGGCCTGTGGTATCTATCCCAGCGTATCTGGGAAGGATCACACAATGGGGTGATTATATTTGTGATTTTTGTCGGGGGACTCCTGCACAGAATTTGTGATTTGCTTCATGGCAGCCACTGTGCGCTTGCGCACCTTTTAGCCAATGATGCAAAGAAGCTTTGCTGCCGATCGCCTGTCACTCTGGTAGTTGATGACGGGCCGTCAGGATGTTTCAGGGAATGTCTCCCGGCAAATGTGCACCAAGCACAGAACGCTCCAGTGATTCGCTGCTACTGCCAACGTTTGGTGGGCTGCATGATGCATGATGCGTGATCTCCGGATGCCGGTATATATGTGTTGGCCTAGGGCCTGGCGCAGGATATGCTAGCACACACTGAGCACGTGGTTAGGTTGAGTGAATCGGGCGCACCCGCACAGGCGTGCAGAGGCAATCGCGTTTCTTAACAGCCACCAGAGCTCCCATGTACGCCCATGTGCCTGCTCACCTCCAACACCCACAAACACACACAGACACACAGACACACACACACAGACAGACACACAGACACACAGACACACACACACACACACAGAGACACACAGAGACACACAGAGAGACACACAGACACACACGCACACAGACACGCACAGACACACACACACAGACACACACACAGACACACCGACACAGACACACAGACACAGACACACAGACACACAGACACAGACACACAGATACAGACACACAGACACACAGACACACACACACACACCACACACCACACACCACACACACACCACACAAACACACCTCACACACACACACACACACCACACACCACCACACCACACACACACACGCCACACCACACACCACCACACCACACACACACACACCACACCACACCACAACACACCCACACCCACACACCACACACACACCACACACACACGCCACACCACACACCACACACACACGCCACACCACACACCACCACACCACACACACACACACCACACCACACCACAACACACCCACACCCACACCCACACCCACACCCACACCCAAGCCAAACACACACACACACATACACACACACCCACACCCACACACGCACACGCACACGCACACGCACACGCACACGCAGACGCAGACGCAGACGCAGACGCGGATGCGAACGCAGACGCAGACGCAGACGCAGACGCAAACACACAAACACACAGACGCACAGACACACACAAAGACACACACACACACACAAACACACACAAACACACACACACACACACACACAGACACACACAGACACACACACACACACACAAGCACAAACACACAGACACAGACACAGACACAGACACAGACACAGACACAGACACAGACACATACACACACAAACACAGACACACACAAACACACACAAACACAGACAAACACACAAACACACAGACACAGACACTGACACAGACACAGACGCAGACGCAGACGCAGACACGCACACACACACACATACATCACACACACACACAACCACACACAAACACACACACACAGACACACACACACACTCAAGCACAAACACACAGACACAGACACAGACACACACACAGACACACACACACAAACACACATCACACACACACATCACACACACAAACACACACAAACACACACACAGACACTCACACAGACACACACAAGCACAAACACACAGACACAGACACAGACACAGACACAGACACAGACACAGACACAGACACAGACACAGACACAGACACAGACACACACACACACACATCACACACACACATCACACACACAAACACACACAAACACACACACACAGACACACACACACACAAGCACAAACACACAGACACAGACACAGACACAGACACAGACACAGACACAGACACACACACACACATCACACACACACATCACACACACACACATCACACACACACAAACAATCACACACAAACACACACAGACACACACACACAAGCACAGACACACAGACACAGACACAGACACAGACACAGACACAGACACAGACACACACACACATCACACACACACACACACATCACACACACACACAAACACACACACACACAAACAGACACACACACACACACTCAAGCACAAACACACAGACACAGACACAGACACACACACAGACACACACACACACATCACACACACACACATCACACACACACAAACACACACAAACACACACACACAGACACTCACACAGACACACACAAGCACAAACACACAGACACAGACACAGACACAGACACAGACACAAACACAGACACAGACACAGACACAGACACAGACACACACACACACAAGCACACACAAACACGCACACACAGACACACACACACACACAAGCACAAACACACAGACACAGACACAGACACAGGCACAGACACAGACACACACACACACACACATCACACACACACACATCCCCCACACACACAAACACACACACACACAGACACACACACACACAAGCACAAACACACAGACACAGACACAGACACAGACACACAGACACAGACGCACACACACACACACACATCACACACACACACATCACACACACACACACGCATCAGACACACACACACATCACACACACACACATCACACACACATCACACACACGCAAACACACACAAACACACACACACACAGACACACACACACACACACACACACTCACACACAC